AGCCAGCCCTGCTGGCTGGGGAATTCTGGGAGTTGAAGTCCACTCATCTTAAAGTGGCCAAGTTTGGACAACACTGCCTTACAGCCTGTACAATACAGTACAAGATATTCCTTTGGTTGTTTATTGTAATTACCAGATAATTGTATAAGGAATATTTCTGGTGACATTAGAAATATGTTGGTTTGGGCTGTGAATGTACTATTGGCTGAGAACCTTGGACAACACTGAATTAAACGATGCCACCCATCTCTGTTGTGGTGCCTGCCCTCTGGAAAGAGGTCCCCCCACCCCAAGATCTGGGTGGCTCCCATCCTAATTGACATTTCGGAGGACCGCAAAAGCCTGGTTCTTGGCCAGGAAGGGGGTAGCCCCTTTCAAGGAGCGGCTGTGTTTCTCATGCTTCCTCTTGTATTGTTTTTAATTTATGTTTTCATGTGAACTGACCAGAGACGCTGGGAGTGGGGCAGTGTACAAATCGAATAAACAGTTTATTTACTGATTTTTTTCCCATCCACCACGTCCTTTCTCACTTTCTTCTTTTATGTAGCCGTTTGTTCTTAAATCATTTAAAATGAATAAATGGGGGGGGGGGGAAGAGGGTTGCATCTTTCCATTGTCTGTGAGGCTAAACAGCTCAGAAGGCATGAAACATGAACGGAACATGATAGATGCTTGCACAGCGCTGCCTCTGCGTGAAAAAATAAAAACCAATCTGTGCCTGCTCCAGAATAAGTGTGTCTATTTAAGGGAGCCATTCATTTTCTGGATTTGCATGATACCCTGAAAGAGACATAAACCCCTCGCTTATCCGCCCCAAAACGAAGTAAGGTTAAAACTAGCCAAGCTTGGACAGCGGGGGGGCTCTGCCTCTTCTGCAAATCCAGCCCGTGCATCGCGGGGCAGATGCTTCACACGACTTCACCCCCTGACCCCCGCGGGAGTGTCTCGTGGGGGGCTGTCCTGCCCTGATTTCTCTGACTACACCTCCCAGAATGCCCCGCGGCAAAGCAGCCGCTCCGTTAAAGGCGCCGGCTCCCCAACAGCTTGCTGGGAGTTATAGTTTGCGGGACTCCGGCCCTGACCGCGTGCAGCCCGCCGGCTTCCAGCTTCCCTCGGGAAGGCCTGTCCCTGGCAGGGGCGCAGCAGCAGGCGGGGCTTCCGCGTCGCCCCCCCCCACCCTCCCGGCGA